CTTTTAATTGGCTTGCTGAGGATAGGTGGTTGAACTTAACTTCTTAGAGTACATCGGATGTTACACAAAATTTATTTACACCTCCAATGTTGTCAGTAAATATTATCTGTAAATATAATCTATTACTATGTTCTAAAATTACCTATATTTATGTAACAAGCATAAAAGTTTATCAATTTATAGTGTGTTGGTTGCAGTTTCTATTTCTGTGTTAAAATAGCATGAGCAAATGTAACTTAGGGAGGATATGGTTTATTTTGTTTATACTTCAATCTCACAGTCCATCATGAAAGAAAGTCAGTGTAGGAACTCAAATAGGGCAGGATCTTAATGCAGAGGCCACACAGGAGTGTTGTTTACTGGCCTGTTCCTCCTGACTTGCTAAGCCTGTTGTCTTATTGGTCTCAAGACCACTAGGCCAAGAGTGGTATCACCTACAGTGAGATAGGCCCTTCAACATCAATTATCAATCAAAAAAGAGCCACACAAGCTTACTTACAGGCTAAACTTGGATTACGTAATTTTCTCAGTTGAGATTCCTTCTTCCCAAATGACTCTGTCTTGTGATATTAAACTGGCCAGAATATACAGTAGATTAAAAAAATCCTGACTATATAGAAGGAATATGTTGAGAATGTTTTTGACAGAAGACTAATTTAGTAACAAGATGGGAAGGGGAAAATGGGGGGGGAAAGTAATCATAATGCTGTGATGTCCATATTCATAATATCAACTAGTCACTAATTCCTTTCTAAACTTGATTTCTTTAAAGTGGTGCTTTTATATCATTAAAATGCAACAATTAGGAATGAAAATATGAATGTAATTAATAAAACTAGAATATAAATGTAACAAGAGACAAGACTGTGGTTTTTACACTAAAGAGTGCATAGGTATATTATCATATCCTCAACTTGTAGGAAATGAAAATGTATGATACATATTAGTATAAAATTGTCCCTATTCGACAGCTCTGGTAAGGGAAAATATTTTAAGTAGGTATAGTTATGTTCCTTCACTTTAGTTATACTAAAAGGCTAGCCTTCTTTTTTATATGGTAAAATCATGTGATTAACAGGAGTACAGGAATGGGGAGCTGAAGTTTGATTCCAAAGAAAAAGGAACAAAGATTTCTACTCTATGTGGACCACAGGAGTGAGCTTATGGACCAAGGACTCCTGCCTAATGAGTGGGACTTCAACCCAGGAAGAACCACTCTCATTTTCAAAATGGAAAACCATTAAGTCCTTGTTTTTCCCTTACCCAGAACTGATACCACATCTAAGAACAGAGGTTGTTTGTGCCCAAGGTCTCCATGAAAGGGCCAACCAGTCTCACTCATATACTTGAAAGTTGGTCTCACTGCTTTCTATAAATTGGAAGATAGCAACAGTTATTATGGGCTTTCAGTTTCACACACACACACACACACACACACACACACACACACACACACACGCTTAGCCAAAATTTAAATAAAATTATTTTACTGTAATACTTTCTGTTTCTTAAATTTAGGTGCCTAGTTATATGTGTTTAATATAATATTTGTTAATTCTTTGAAAATTTTGTACATGCATGCAATATATTTTGACTGCATTGTCTTTCCATTCCTCTAACTGATCCTCCCAGATCCAAGCCCAACCTCCCTACCCACTTCATGTCTTTTTTTTTTTTAATAGTAACTACTCAGTCTAATCTCCTCATATAATGATGGGTGTGGAAAATCCACTTGAGCATGGTTGACTTACCACAGATGACGCTCTTAAAACTAACTGACTCCTTTTCCCTGCCTTAGTTACTAGTCTATTGATCCAACATGTCCAAACCCACTCCAACAAGGCCACACGTTCCAATCTATCCCAAATAGTTGCACTCCTTGGTGACTAAGCATTCATATTTTTATTCCTAATTTTTGCATTTAAGTGATAAAAAACAAACCCCTTAAAAATCAAGTTTAAAAAGGAACTAGTGACTAAATGAAATTATGGATTTCATTCTCATTTTGTCATAATTCTCTAGAAGCCACAGTCAGTAGGTCATCCATTAGAAGTGGAGAGTCCTGAGCCCTCCCCCAGTGCATCCTGGAATATTCACTGGATAAATCTTATGCAGTCTTTATTCATGCAACTACAACTGCTTTGAATTCACCAGAGCAATGGCCCTGTCATGTCTAGAGGACACTATTTCACTCTTGTCTTCTGCCACCTTTGACTCTTAAAATCTTATTAAATTCTTTCTGCAATGGTCTCTGAACCTTGAGGAGAGGGGTGCAGAGGTACATTTTGTAGCTGAGCATTTCATAGCCACTGATGTTTTGTAGGATGACCACTTCTGAATGCCTTTTTAAACCACAATCTACTGCATAAAGTTCTCTGAGGAGTTCTAAGAAGTGCACTAATCTGTAGTTATAGGAATATGAATTATAGTACAGTGTGTTACTTCATTCATTTAGCAAAATAATAGTATTAGGTTCAGTCCTGGGTCCTCTGTCTTCCATAACCATGTGTTCTCAGCAGGGGTTACAGCAGTAGGCATGTGTTGCTTTCTGTGAAGTAGGCCTTAAGTTCACTCTTAAGCAGTTGACTATCCCCATAAAGTTTGTTCCACTATTGCATTCATGGACACATTTTGCTATGTTGTTTATTAATATAGCTTGCAAGATTCTTAGCTAGGTAAGACTGCCAAATGATCTTTCCATCCATACACACACACCAGCCTACAAAGCACCTTCTGTTAGTATTAAAACTAGCCAGCCGGAAAGAAGTTACATGGTCAGTAACAACTTGATTTCTCCATGTCTTGGAATAAAAAGTATGTGGTGTGTTCAGTAATAGGATCTTACCATGTAGTTCTGGTGGGCAAGAGAGAGCAATGCCAATAGTCTGTATTGTTTAGGGATAGTCTAAGGCATCCCTGACCAACAACTCCAGCTGAGAAATTCCACACCTTCCATATCTGGCACCAGGCTTTTTATTTAGCAACCTATGGCTTCTGGTTCAAGTATTAACCACTGTGTGGGGTTAAATTATACTTATGGAATAGTAGCTAATAGGATTTGTTGATTTCTAT